GGCATGACCACAGGGGTCAGGGAGGGACGAGAGCCCCGGAAGGGAGGCAGTGGAGGGCCCGAGAGGCAGCCGTTGAAAGGCACACCGACGCTGATGCTGGAATCACCCAGAACTCTGGCAAAGCTCGCACTGCGGGGAGGAGACAGTGCACTGGAGTGGGGGGCAGTGCCCTGGAGGGAGGAGCGGCACCCTGGCTGCCCCAACACACCGAGGAAGTGCCTTCTTCCCCTGAGAAGGGCCACGGGGAAGCCTAGGGCTCGGGGTGGAGCCAGGCTGGCTCAGCCCCTCCCCGCCCAGCAGGTGCCCCTGGGAGCCCTGGCAGCAGGGCAGACAGGCCGGTCACCAGGCTTGCTCCCACTAATCACAGTTGAGTGAGGGGACTAACTACCCCAAGCACTGTGTGTGGTGTCCAGTCTCTTCCAAGCTCACCAGGGTGTTCTAACCTGCAGCCAGGCTGGAGGACCCAGGAGTCAGAACAGGGAGGTGAGGGGGCTGCCAGGGAAGAGTGGAGAGATGGGGGATTTTGCTGATGGTGGACTGAGCTCCCCCGGCTGGGTGGAGCAGGGTGCCAGCAGTGAGGAAGGGGTTTGGGCTGGAGTGGGAGCAGGGCACAGGCCCGGTTATCCCGGGTGCAGTCCAGATGAAGGAGGACAGACCAGAGTCATGGACATCTTACATCAGCTGCAGTACATATGGCCCAGGGACTGAGGGACCAGGCCTGGGGACCCCTTGGGCAGACTGTGGGGACGAGGCAGAAAAGGGGCAGCCAGCCAGGAGCCCTGGAACGCTGTGGGTTCCCAGCTTCCCACGCTGAGGGGTCACGGAGGCTGGGGACGAGGGCGGTGGCCCAGGAGGGTACAGAGCTCCATGGACAATCTGGTGTGGACAGCAGGGAAAGGGGGGAATATACACCCACACAGGTGTGTGCATGTGTGTGTGTGTGTGTAAATATACCACATTATTATCGCTGGCAGGGTGTGCGAGAAACTGAAATCATGGCCCTGTCCAGGGGAGGGGACGAGGCGTCTGGGCTACAGAGGTGACGAAAGGGAGACCTTACTGTGGACCCTCTTTTGCCTGTTCACCTTTGAACCACGAGACTGCAGTCCTTACAAGCAGCCACAATGGGAGGAGCCACACCAGTCTCCAGGCATTGGACTCTGTGGGCCCCGTGCACGCAGAGCCATGGGCATCGCCACCCCCTGGGTCTAGACAAGTGAGCTCCCCACCAGTGAGCCAGACTGGCCACAGGGTCAAGGGTGTGCAGGAGCCCTGAGAGAAGAAATGCGAGGCCCCTGTGAGCCCCGAAGGCCTGGGCGTGGAGGTCTGCAGTGGGACTTTTCGGCTCCACAGTTGGAGCAAGGCCTCTGAGCAGGATGATGTGGGCAGCCCAGCCTGTCACCAGAGGGGGCGCCCCAGAGCCCGAGGCCTGGGTCCCATCCCAGCTTACGGCTCAGCAGTCACAGAGCAAGCTCCTCGGCCTGTCCATTGCTGCAGCTGCAAGATGGGCAAAGCATGGTGCCTCCGTCACAGCGGTCAGGACAGGCCCCTGGAAGCATGAGTATTGTTGTTCCCGTCCCTCTGAAGGTGACTTTGCCCGTAGGCAGTGGGCACCCGGAGCTCCAGTGCCAGCTGGTGTCTCGCAGTCCCATCTGGCTCTTGCACGGGCAGGTGTGGGGCAGTGTGCTCCTGTCACAAACCCACTCGGGCTGCACGCTCAGCCACGGCTCGTGGACTCAAAATGCATCTCCGTGCCCCCGAGTCAGATGCCACGAAACCCCTCGCTCCCTGTGTGGGGAGCGACTCAGCCGTCGTGCCCAGGGGAGCCATTAGGGGAGTGCCCCAGGCAGGGTGTGAGCCTCGTCCCCGGTGCAGTGGCCCTTCCCCACCTCTCCTCTGAAGTCTCATTCTGATGTCCATCATCCCTGAGGTCTGGCTGTGGCTTCATTCACGCTGACACTGTGGTCGGCACCTTGCTGAAGTCATGCACCATCGCCCGGGAACCCTGAGAGACCCCCTTTAAGTTCAGGGCCCAACGGGCATGCTGTACCGAAGGTGCCTTGCTCAGCTCACCCTAGGACACAGGTCAGCCTCAGCCTGTCTGTCTGTCTCTTGCCCTCCCCTCCCAACTCCCCCAACCCTCCCTTCTCTTTCATGGGCCAGGCGCTGCTCATGCAAAGATGGCCCAGCTGGGCTCCATCCCTAAGAAGGACAAAGTGTTAAAAGGAAGGCAGACACATTCACCACTAAGTCAGGTGTGAGCTGTGAGAGCCCAGGACCATGACTAGTTCTGCTAGAGGCAGTCAGGAAAAGCTTCTAAAAGAAGGTGATGTTTGTGCTGGTTTTGAGGTATTCGTAGGAGTTCACCAGAAAATGTCTAGGAGGAAGGAAATTCCAGGCGGAGGGAATAGCCTGGGCAAAAGCCGCAGGCAGGAGGAGATCGTGGTGCTTTTGAAGAGTCGTAAGTTCACTGCAGTCGGAGTGTTCAGGTGGAGTGGGAAAGATCTTCCAGCCAGAAGTTGGGAACCAACAGACATACTTCAACATGCAAATGATGTGACCAGAGCTAGGTACGTCTCAACGTGCCTCTGTTCCAGAACCTTCTGCCGCTTTCTGGTTGGATCTCAGCAAACTCCCACTAGTTTACCCAGAGCCCTCCTACTAGGTCCTGGTTTCTAGCCTGAGAGAGGTGCCCAGGTTCCGGATTGGTCGAACGGTCATGATTGACATCTATTACATCAATGAATGCTGGCATAAGTAATCCCTCCGCCCATTTCTGGAACCTTGTGGGAGGATCTTTAAAAAAAAAAACCCTCCCAGGAGAGGGGAGGTGCAGAAGGACTACCAGTAGGACTAGAGTTACAGCAGTGCCCCCCAAATCTGCAGGGGATGCGTTCCAGGACCCCCCAGTGGATGCCTGAAACCATGGACAGTACCGAACCTTACGTACCATGGTTGTTCCCTGTGCATACACACAGCTTTTCCCTTACGGGAAACACGTTACAGCTCTCTTCCGCGTATCTGAATTACCAGCCTCACTACTCTGGCACTTTGGGGACATTATTAAGTAGAATAAGAGTGACTTGAACATGGATATGTGATACTGCGACGGCCGAGCTGATAACCAAGGTGGCTGCAGTGACTGGCGTCTGGTCGTGAGTGCAGAGGGTCCCATCCCGGGCCAGATGGCGACATTTCACCACACTGCCCAGAATGGCGCACGATTTAAAACTTGTGAATCATTTATTTCTGGAATGTTCCATTTAATATTTCTGGACTGCTGTTGAGCATAGGTCACTGAAACTGGAAAGCAAAACCGCCGGTAAGGGAGGACAGTCGTATTTTTTTCTTCTTTATTATCATCTCGAATCCCCATTAGGAGGGTCTATCGGCCCCATTTCCTTATTGACAATGCCTGAGTCCAAATAGCTCAGAAAAACAAAGGTGTTTTCTTTCCTTTCCCCGGGAACTTGTTTTGTGTCAGAATGACCTGAGCAGATTCGAGGCTATTTATAGTCATTATTGATCACTCGGGGTGGATACTCATAGTCTGCGGGCAGAACCTGGAATGGGTTTGATTGCGGGTTTGTCCCAGACCCGCTGGGTCGCTGTGTGACTGGGCGGCATATGCGCTGTATTACCTGCCCACAGTACAACTGGGAACGAAAGCCTGATTTCCAAACCAGCCGGGGCCCCAGGCAGCGCCTTAAGAAAGGGCAGGCCTGAGTTCTTGCACTCGGGGGAAGAAGAGGGCCTGCTCCCTTGTCTCCGGCAGGCGCGCACTCCGTGCGTGCTCCGCTGTGATCTTTTAAACCGCTTCACCTGCCTGTACGTCCAGACCACTCCTCTCAGCACCCTGGCCCCCAGCAGGTGATTCCCCGCTGCTTTACTGGCCAACTGGGTCAGGGACGGTGTTAGGAGGGCCCCACGGCCCCACGTGAGGTGATCCGTAGTTTAGAAATGCCTCTACCTTGGCCTGCGAGCGCCAGGGCTTTGAGCGAGTCATTGCACCTTTGGGCCTCCCTCTGCTCTGCAAGGTGTGAATAGCAATCCCCCTCGCCACCCCCCCCCACCCCCGCAAAGTCCTCTGTCCCAGTGAGGACAGAGGCGTATAGAACGGGCACAACTACTACAACCACTTGCCCCTGTCATCTCAGCTGATTAAAGGTGGGAGTCCGATGATGTAGACAGACAGGGTGGTCTGACTCTAAAGCCCTGGGCTGAGTCCAGGCCCTGGTCCCTGCCTCCTCGTCTGTAAAAGGTGAACAGTCGTGAAAGCGCTTTGAAAATTGCCCCCTGCCTTCCAGATGCTGCTCCTGTCAGGCTCCTGTCGGGGCTGGGGGCAAGTGGGGGGTCAGGCAGGGGCTGCCCCTCTCCAGGAAGGGTGAGGTGGGGTGAGGTGGGGTTTCTCTGCGACCTGGAGCCTGTAGGTATGTGTGAATGAGCGTTGGGCCTTTTATTTCTGGGAAAGGGGAGGGTGGGTACACAGGAGGAAGACTCTGGTGTCTGTTTTCGTGGTCTGAAGTGGAAGGAGACCTTGATGTTCTCAGTTCTCTTGTGCTGTTGTGCAGGCTGTACCTCGGACAACTCCAGGAGGCACCACTCACACTCTAGTCTAAGTGAGTGGCACTCCCTGGAGCTGTGTGCTGTGCATCATACTGATGGCCCCGGTGATGTCCCTTCGTATGATGGCTTGTAAGCAATGACAGCGGTTAAAATGAGCAGAGTCTGCATGTACGCAGTGTTCATTTTCTTACCTAAGTCTGACGATGAGGCTCTGAGGTCGATGCTCTTGGTATCTGTGTTTTACACGTGGGGAAATGGTCACGGACAGTCCAAGGGAAATGCCCAGGGTCACACGGCCCTTTCCCACTATGCCAAGGAGCCCCTGGACTCGGCTGAGGCTGAGGAAGGGTGGTGTGGTGGGACCTCCACTGCACTGAACAAAACCATCCCTGTGTGTCTCTTTTCTCCCCCCACCACGGTCCCCTCCTGCACAGCTGGACAAGATGCTGGACCCGCAGGTGTGGCGGGAGGCGGCCACGCAGGTCTTCTTCGCCCTGGGGCTGGGTTTCGGGGGCGTCATCGCCTTCTCCAGCTACAACAAGCAGGACAACAACTGCCACTTCGACGCCGCCCTGGTGTCTTTCATCAACTTCTTCACCTCGGTGCTGGCCACCCTCGTGGTGTTCGCTGTGCTGGGCTTCAAGGCCAACATCATGAATGAGAAATGCGTGGTCGAGTAGGTGTCACCTCTCCCTGTTTTTTCTCTTCCCCGTCCACACTACCCAGGAGGGAGGGAGGCTGTGGACAGGGAGTCCCTGTGGCGCCCCAGGTGGGAGGAGCTCTCTGGCCCCAGCCCTGGACCACAAGGTGTCACAGGTGTCTCTGCTGACGGCCAGGTGGAGGGAGGTCTTGCCTGGGAGCTGCCCCCAGGATCATGCTCACTGCCGCCTTTTTCCTGGGTCCTCTCCCCTTTTTGCTGCAGGAATGCTGAGAAAATCCTGGGATACCTCCATACCAATGTCCTGAGCCGGGACCTCATCCCTCCCCACGTGAATTTCTCCCACCTGACCACCAAGGACTACACAGAGATGTACAAGGTCATCATGACCGTGAAGGAGGACCGCTTCTCAGCCCTGGGCCTTGACCCCTGCCTGCTGGAGGACGAGCTGGACAAGGTGTGGGACAGGCCACTCCTCCTGGACAGTCTGGGCAGGCCATAGGGCTCATTTGTTTACCTGATAAGCAAGGGCCTCCTACGTGTCCAGACAGGGAGGGGAGAAGGTATCAGCTCAAACCCCTGCCCTCAGGGAGGCTGAGTCTTGGTGAGGGGACAGGGCTGACACACACATCACAGAAATCGCAGGGAGTGTGTGGGACAACTTTCACGTTTATTGAATGGGCTTCCTGTGCACTGGTCACTGCCACGTGTCACACACTCAGAACAGTGCCTTGCACATGGAAGACAGAAAATAATGGTTTATCACAGCACCTGCCCTTTGCTGTCTGTCCCCTTCGGCCCTCACGACGTGTCCTGAGTCCAGAGTTAATATTGTCCCAACATTGTCACAGGACAACAGGGAGGTGGTGCCAGTGGGCAGCGTGTGGCCAGTCGCCCGTGAGCGGGGCCCAAGCCTCAGTGCTGGGGTTCTCTACCTCACTGCCCACTGGGGCCAGCTGGGGGCTCTGCCACACCCAGATACCCAGCTTTACCCCCAGACCAACCCGATCATTGTCCCTGGGGTGAGACCCACGCGTGGGTGTTTTTAAAGGCTCCACTGTGACCCCATGGAGCAGCCATGGCTGAGATCATGCTGTTGAGGTCTGGAGATCAGAGCTGGGAGCAATCTGGGAAGACTTCTTAGAGGAGGAGTGCCTTGAGCTGAGTGTGTTTCTGAAAGGGGGCATCTTTGTCTAAATCATCCCGGGTCCTTGTACAGCTGGAAGGTTCTAGGCCCCACAGCTGAACTCTTGAATCAGTCGGTGTTTTACTCCCTTTGGGGGGAAAGATTCTGATGCCTACTCAAATCTGAGACACACTGGCCAAAGCAGCTGGACGTAGGTGGGGGTGGGGACCTCTAGGAAAGTCCTGAAGCTCTGAGGGCGGAGGTGGTGAAGCCAGCGGCTCCCAGGGTGGGCGTGGGCCCTCACAGAGCCCTCACCCCTGCCCCTGCCCCCCACAGTCCGTGCAGGGCACAGGCCTGGCCTTCATCGCCTTCACCGAGGCCATGACCCACTTCCCCGCCTCCCCATTCTGGTCTGTCATGTTCTTCCTGATGCTCATCAACCTGGGCCTGGGCAGTATGATCGGGACCATGGCCGGCATCACCACGCCCATCATCGACACCTTCAAGGTGCCCAAGGAGATGTTCACAGGTAACTGCTGACTCTCTGACTTGGAGAGTCACTTTTGACCCATAGGGCTGGGCCTGCTGGAGGGAGGGGTGGGATGGGAGGGGCCTGGGCGCCCCCAAGACCCCCGGGGCCCCGCCCACCTGCACCTCTGCCCCCACACCGGCCTCCCGGCTCTCTGTAGTGGGCTGCTGTGTCTTTGCATTCTTCGTGGGGCTGTTGTTCGTCCAGCGCTCCGGAAACTACTTTGTCACCATGTTTGATGACTACTCAGCCACCCTGCCGCTCACCCTCATTGTCATCCTCGAGAACATCGCTGTGGCCTGGATCTATGGAACCAAGAAGTAAGGGGCCATGGGGGAGAGGTGTGGACAGGAAGAGGGGTCTGTCCCGGTGTGACTCCCCCGAGAGTGCTGTGTTCCCAGGGCTGCTGCGAGTGGGCAGGGGATCACGGAGCCGAAAGTGCTCTCATGGGTCCTTTAAAGAAACTGAGGCTCAGAGGGAGGCATCCTGGCTGGTGAGAGGCAGAGCCAGGCCGAGGACACGAGTCTCCTGGCCTCAGGCCCTGACACCGCCCTCCACTGCCTAAAGTTACCACAGCACCTCTCCTGGGTTCCGAATGCTCATAATTTTCTGAAGCTTAAGCACCTAGTGGGTATACGAGGGGCCCCTGCCTTGCAAGCGCTGGTAGACTTCAGCAGCCCGACTCACAGCTTTAAGGCTGTTTACGCAGAGGTGAGAGATGGGGTGTGGCTAGGGCCCGAAGTTGGGGGTCAGGTGGGTGAGAGGATTCAGCAATAAGAAAGGATGGGGTCTCGTGGCCTGAGCCTGGGGCAGACCCACGCTCACTGTCCACCCCCCCACCTCATTCCTCATTTAAGGACCAAGCTGTAGGCCCAGAAAGCCCCAGGACTGGGTCCCTCCCACTTGCTTAAGGCCAGGGCTCCACTGACGCCCTCAGCCTGACCCTCCGCTGAAGTCCGGACCTGGCTTTAGAATCAGGCTCTCTCCCTGTCCCTGATGTCCCCGAGAGAGCCGCCCACTCCTGGTGGGGTGCAGGAGGGGCCGGTGAGAAGGCAGGGAGCAACCCCGAGAGCCAGGGCTGGGATGCGCTGCTGGAAGGTGCTGCCTCTTTAGCCCCTTCTCAGAACATTATTTTTAAATGCATACGATAAAATGTATAGTAGTGTGCAGGCAACCCAATTTATTGAACATTAGCAACATGTTGAAAATCTGAGATGTAGTAGTATCTGTGTACTTCATTTTTACTGCGTTAAGTTGCGAGATCTAGCTACGGGTCTGATAACAGCAGTAACTTTAAATGAGCGATGAGACTCAATGATATTTGCAGGTAATTTCCGCTGTAATGTGATAGAAAGATATCTGAGATTTAATCCGTTGCTGGCAGAGTCCCAGGTGCTGTTAATACTACTATGGTTGCTTGCATTTATAATAGAAAAATGTGATATTTCAGTGAGAGATTATTGAGGTAAAGGTGGTGTTGTAACACCATTCCTGGACACAGCCTGCTAGCCTTCCAGAACTCCATCCACTGGCCTATAGTTAGAAACCTGAGTCAGGGAGTCTGCTGGACACTGGGGAAGGTGCACTGCCACCGCTTTTCCAGCAGGGGGAGTCTCAAGCCTTGTCATTGTGAGTGGGGGTGGGGGGTGCCCAGAGCACACAGCCCTCTGGTGTGCCCCATGGGTTGTATGGTAGCCTTGGGTGGGGTGTGACCTGATGTAGTCAGAGGAGGTTAGAGGAAGGTGGCAGAGCCTGACCAGAGGCCAGCAGGACCACAGATAATATACCAGGAGCCTTGAAGTTGAAGAATGGAAGAGCCTGGGAGGGATGGACTGGTCAGGGAAGGCTTCCTGGAGGAGGTGGCTCTGGGGGGAATGCACAGGCACCAACTTCCGGGCCCTCTGCTGCATCCGGCAGGTTCATGCAGGAGCTGACAGAGATGCTGGGCTTCCGGCCCTACCGCTTCTATTTCTACATGTGGAAGTTCGTGTCTCCACTGTGCATGGCTGTGCTCACCACGGCCAGCGTCATCCAGCTGGGGGTCACGCCCCCGGGCTACAGCGCCTGGATCAAAGAGGAGGTGAGGGTGGCAGCTGGGACCCTCAGGACTCAGGGTCAGAAGGGCTAACACACCTGTCCAGTCTTTCTAACTCATGTTTTGTCTCTGTGTGGGGGGAGTGACATCGTCCTTCCTTTTTACAATAGCGACTGGGACGCAGGTGACCAGCTAACTTACGTAACGACCCCTGCAGGGGCCAGGACAGTGGGTGCGGTAGCTGGAGAGGGTGGAAAGAGGCGGTCCGGGGCGGGCGAGGCTGTGGCAGTGTGCTCTGTGAAGCAGCGGCCCTCCGCCCTCCCCTGTCCGCCCCCAGGCTGCCGAGCGATACCTCTATTTCCCCAACTGGGCCATGGCCCTGCTGATCACCCTCATCCTGGTGGCGACCCTGCCCATCCCCGTGGTGTTCATCCTGCGGCACTTCCACCTGCTCTCCGACGGCTCCAACACCCTCTCCGTGTCCTACAAGAAGGGCCGCATGATGAAGGACATCTCCAACTTGGAGGAGAACGATGAAACCCGCTTCATCCTCAACAAGGTGCCCAGCGAGGCGCCCTCCCCCATGCCGACTCACCGCTCCTACCTGGGGCCCGGCAGCACATCGCCCCTGGAGCCCAGTGGCGACCCCAATGGACGCTATGGGAGCGGCTACCTCCTGGCCAGCACCCCTGAGTCGGAGCTGTGACCACCAGTCCCCCTCACCACCCACCTCTCCTCCACACCCAGCCAGCCCCTGTCCCAGCCTGTTCACCCCTCCCAAGAGAGGGGTCGCCCTGACTCATCCCCCATCCCAGTCCCAGCCGATTCTGCTCCCCAGACCTGGGTGGGAGCCGTACCCTCTAAGATCTCCCCAGATGGTGGCCCCATAATTGGAATAATCCTGGAGTTCTGATTCCCAGTGCAGGGGAGACTCCAAGTGGGCACTTTCGGGGTCACTTCACCCTCCTTCTCTCCCCCTAACCTGCTACCTGCAGTTCCTAGGTCTTGGAGTCCCACTGTACTGACAGGTGGTGGTGCTGGTGACAGGCACGGGGCGGGGTGGGGTGGGGTACCCAGAGGCTGCCTGAGTGGGGGCTGGAGATGGGACAGACGTACCAGCACCCAGGGCTTGGGCCTGGGGTCGTTTGAGGCACATGGTGCCCCGACAGCAGAGGGGTGGGGCCCCCCCCCTCAGCTCTAGGTGCAACCCCTGACATCCTAGTTTCTGCCTGGGTGGGCGGGGTGTGCACCCACATCCTGCCTGGGAAGGCGACGACTGGGCTGGAACTTGCCTACCTCCGTGAGGGCTTAGCTGTCTCCCTGTCCTCTCCCCACCCCCAGCCCCATCCTGGAGCCCAGAGTGGTGGCCCCTGCTTTTCCTGGAGGTTTCCAGAGCACACATGCCCACAGCACAATTCAGATGGTGTGCAGCACAGCTGCTAAGCATATCCCCTCATTCCATTGGGGCCCCTATTTTCTCTCTAGTGGCAGCTTCTTCCCTGAAATGGGGTCCCTGGAGTTCTGGGGCCCATATCCAGGACACCTGGCACCTGGGCAAAGAGATAATTCCACTGCCCCTCTGGGCAGCCACTCACCCTCTGTTGTGTGAGCGTGGCTCCCTGGCTTCCCATCATGGACAGACGCCTCGGGAACCTTTCCCAAGCCACCCGGCCCATGTCAACCAGGGCCACAGGCACTGCTGTGGACCCCGCAGGTTGCCAAGGGGAGGGAGCTGGGTCTCTATCCTGGAGCGCAGCCCCACTGCATTCCCCACCCCAACTCTTACCTTCTGGCTGACCCTGGAATAGGACTGCCCTCAGGGTAAGGCTGGGAGTGGTGGATGGACCAGTGGAAGGGTGGGTAGATGGGTAGATAATGGATGGGTGATGGGTGGGTGGGTGGATTGGTGGATGGATGGATGGGTAGATGATAGATGGGTAGGTAAGTGGATGGGTGGGTGGGTGGATGATGGATGGATGGATGGATGGGTAGGTAGGTGGGGGAATGGTGGATTGGTGGATGGATGGTTGATGGTTGGGTAGGTGGATGGATGATAGATAGATGGATGGATGAAGGATGGGTGATGGATGGGTAGGTGGGTAGGGGGGTGGGTGATGGAAGGTAGGAAGGAGGACAGACTGGCTGGCACAGCAAACCTCTGAGAGCTGTGGTGGGGAGGGAGGGAACAGGCCACATCACTAGGCCTGGGCACCTTGACAGAGCGTCCTGAGTCACTTGTGGGGGTGGGGACAGACTAGACCCAGGGTTCCCTCCTTCACTCCTTAGTCCCCTGCCCCTCCCTTTCCTGGGGATCCATCCCCCATCCCACCATTTTTCTTACCCGTCCTTCTCCCCCCACCCATTTCTGGCCCTCTCAGCCCCATCCACCTTCCCAAGTTGACGGGAGAGGAGAGACCCAGGTCTCCCCAGAGACCCGAGCCTTTGGAGCACAACGTCCCGCTGCAGGCCCCCCACCCAGCAGCACCTCCTCTGTGGCCCCAAGCCCAGTCCCAGCCGATTTAGCAACAGGAGAGGCCAGGCCCCGGGAGAGATGCTCCACTATACATACTCTTCTGCGTACCCCACTTCTGTCATATAGTCAGTCTGAACATGTGGGTGTCCATGCTGTTAGTGACAACCCCAATATTACCTTGCGGCTGGCGGACTCCCTCCATCCTCAATGCTGTACAGATCTATTTTCATTGTATATCTGATATATTTTTAATTTTGTAGCTTGTGGCTGGGCCACCAGCCTGCCACAGGGGCTGAGCGGGGCAGCCTCTCAGTCCCACGGGTTGGCAAGCGTGCCTGGCCCGTCCCGGCTGTGTCTGCTGTGTTAGCCGTAGAGCCCGGAGCTTGACGTGCGTGTGTGTGTGTGTGTGTGCACGTGTGTGTGTGGCGTGCGTGCCTATGTGCGTGTGGCTGTGTGTAGGGTGCTGACTTGTGAACTCTGATGTTCACCATGCTCCTGAAGACCCCTCTGCCCTCCCTGCCTCCCCCTCCCCCTCTCAGCCAGGCCTCAGGGCTGGTCTGCCAGAAGCTCCCTGCCTGGGGAAGGTGGGCTTCCCTTGGGGGGGCCCACTGCCTTCACAGCACTGGAAAGGAGGGACCTGGTGGGGCCAGGGAAGCTGCTGTTTTTGTTTTCCAGTCGACCTTGTGCTGTCTCCACCGGAGTCCCAGGCTCTTTGTTCCTAGGAAAGTGCTGGGCTCCTTAAGACGGTGCAGCCCCAGGAAGGCCTCTCGCAGCACCCGGGCCCTGCATTTGTCTTTGGGACAGTCCTGACCGTGTTCAGAAGGGAGCTGCGTGCGCCAGCCCCTGGGCTGCTGGCTCGCACACTTTCGCCCAGTCCTCAGGGGGCTGGAAGCTGGGCAGGTCTAGGGCAGGGGGGCCTCTGACGAGGTCAGATCCAGCCCCTGGTTTCCGGGGGGGAGCAGGAGGTAGCGCCACATCCCTGTGCAGGGTGCCCGCCCACCCTGGCTGGGGTGCTGTCCTGCAGCACCCACAAGAGACAGTGGGCTCCTGGCCAGGGCGCGCCTGCGAGTCCCCTGCTCCTTGTCCTCTGGCCCGATCACCAGCTTATTGCTCAGGGAGCCGTCTCCACTGAGGCAACCTGAAGCCCAGGTGGGTCTGGATGGGCAGGGCGCACAACTCAATGCCAGTGAGGGTGGCTTTGCCCTCCGGCCATGAATCTGCAGAGATCGTCCCTTTCCTGGTGCCAGGAGAAGCTGGGGGGCTGGGGGCTGCCTGGTCCCGGACCGTGGGTAGGCCTGCAGCATTCCGGGCTGGGGTGCCCTTCCACCTGTCTTGGCAGCTGCACCCCTGCCACTGCCCCCAGAGCAGTCCCCAGGGTGGAGAAGAGGAGAGACAGGCAGGTTGGAAGGCACCTGACCCCGAGTGTCCGCTAGGCCCTGAAACTGGGGACCTGCTGCCCCGTCTGTGGGGCCTGGCAACTGGGGCTGTGGAAGGGGCCCCAGGGCCCCTCCTTGTCCCAAGCGCTGCTTTGTACACATCCAGGTACACACGGAGAGCATCATTAGGGCCTGGCGCAGGTTCGAATCCATGTGCCAGTGGCTGGCCAAAACCCTGGGTAGGTCAAGACCACTCAGCCCAGGGGAGGGGACAAGGTATTGTCACCCTGGAGCCCCTCCTTCCTCTCTGCTCCCCCCATGGTGTACAATAAAGTGTCTGTTCTTACCAACCCCCCCTTGCCTTTCTGACTGGCCCAAAGGGGGCTGGGGCAGGGTTGGGGGCAGCTTTGGGGTAAAAGCTTGGATGGGAGGCTGTGGGAGCTGTGGGTGGGGCTGACCGGCTGGGGACTTGAGGAGAAACACGTACTCACTCTCCCAGGAACTGCCCTGGTGTCCTTGTAGCAGGCCTCATGGGCTCCCAGTGCCCCCCACCGGCCGTCGCATGCGGCATTTGCAACAGCTGGGTCTCTGGGGTGGATCCAGCCGATTGGGTCGGCACGGGGTCGTGCTGCAGGGCACCGCTTACACGCAGGCTTTTTCTCAGTGAGTATACAATCAGCCGGGCCCTGTACCCCCGGGCTCCACTTCCGTGAGCTCACCCAGCTGTGGGAGGAGGGCAGAGTTGCCTGTCTGCACCGGGGAACCCCGACTCTGGCCGTTCTGTGCTGTCCCATAGACGGAGCCTGTTCATGCCTAGATTTTTGGCTGCGTTGTCCAAGGGCCATCTGGCTGTCAGGTTTTTGTGTCCGAGGTAAGGACGGTGTTGCCCACTTACAGGGCCTTGGGGAAATTCCTGCCCTGCCTTGCTGCCAGGAAGAGCTGTATCTGTCAGCTCTGCAAGGCTGTGGTGTGTGGAGGTCCCCACAGAGAAGGGGTGGGGGTGGGGTGGCTGGAAAGGCCTGGGAGCCAGGTAGGGGCCAGCAGGGGACTTGAAGGTTCATGGGAGCAAGCCACGTTCTAAGTTGTAAACAGCGGCCCCTCTCTTCAAGTACAAGGTGAAGATGAAACACGGGATTTGCTATTACCTACTTTCTCAAATTTCAATCTCAAGTCCTTATTGAAGCAACGAAGGGGCTGGTGGGAGGGGGAGGCGCTGCTTCTTGCCTCTCCAGCAAGGAGCCCAGACAGTAAAAAAGGCAAGAGTTTGGCTCCTGGGGAAGGGGCAAGGCCCACCCACGGCACCTTCCACTTCCTCCTCCTGCCAGAGAAGACGGTGCTGTTCCAGGAACAGCCAGCAGATGGCAGAAAAACCTTTCTATCCAGATCTTGGTCCACTCCCAACACCGTCACTTAAGGCCTTCGTGGGCTAGTTTATTCATTAAACAAATATTTAGTAAGCATCCACTTTGACAGGCTCCGTGCCAGCTGTGGACTCACAAAGATAGATAAATCATCCCCCACTGTCCCCAGCGTGGGGAGGGGAAGGGAACCCCTTCAGCCCCCACTCCCGACTCCCAATCTCCTCACATGCTTCCCGAATGGGGAATGTCTTGGTGCTACAAATATCACTCCTGGAAAATTTACTCAACCCTGTGATTGAAAGTAAAGGTTTTGGTTGAAATGCCAACCCTCCTATCAGGAGGGACACACAAATGCAGTAAGAAGCAGTATAAAAAGGCCTTGGATTTGAGGGAGATATGGAGCTGGACTTCCCAAGTTCAAGTTCAAATGCCAGCCAGGCCTTCTGCTTCTTGGGAGCTCTAGAGCAAGTTATTTCATGCCTCTGAGCTTACATTTCCTGGTCTTTAAAATAGGTATAATGAAGGGATTGAACCGAGATGGCGCATCTTGCTATATATCAAGCTACCCCAAATCTTAGTGGCTTAAAACAACTGTTTTATTATGTCTCATGGGGTTTTGAGTGAGGGATTCAGGCAGAGCTTGTGAGTGACTCTCCTGGTGGCAGCTGAGGTCACTTGGTGGTATTCAGTGGCAGGCAGGCTGGCCTGGAGGGCCCAAGGCAGCCTCACTCACGTCCGTGCAAATGCCGGCATGTCGGTGAGAACGGCCCCAAGGCTGGACGTGTCTCCAGAGGCACGTCTACCGCTGACCACTGGGGCATCGCTCATCTCTGGGTGGCCAGACTTCTGTGATGGCTCAGAG